GCGCTATTTAGCACGTTTTAAAGACCAAATCCTTTTAGCACGCTGTTGATAGATCAGTTTGGACATTTTTTAGCGTGCGCAGTGAAATAGCTCACATTTTTATACACGCAAACCTTTGATAGATCCGGCCCTTAGACAGACTTTATTGATCCATTGGGAAGACTCCCTCCAGAAATTAAGGTTACCAGCAGCTCACAGGGCATGAAAATATTAAGTTAAATTAAATAGTTTAATAGTTTATAGATTTAGTTATGGGCATTGACTGGATTATTAAAAAAAATGATATAACGTGCTGTGCTCTAGTTCTGTGATTATGTTAAAGGTTAAAAATCTCGAGTTTTCTGCAGCTTTTCTCAAGGTTCCTTTGAGGATCGCTCCTTGACATCCCCATTAAGTCTGGCCCACTTCACCATCCCTATTGAAGGAAAGCTTCTCTGCAGCCTGATGTTGCCACCAAAATCTGCAGACACTGAAGTGATGTAAAAGCATTTTGCATGCAGCCCATGCAAATATCCATAGCTTATCCCATTACCCAGCCTGTCACAGGATTAGACTGACAACATTCCCTTAATTTGTTTGAAGTTTTGCCGTACGTTTTACCTTTTCAGAGCTATGGGAAGACGTTTGGGGACACCAGTAAACACAGTTTTCCAGTCTGAAGAATGTTGAGAAAAAAATATGAATGTTTTTTATTTTATTTTGTAACATCGTGGCCCTATTCTTCAGCGTTACAGAACATTAGTTCTCATAATCAGACCCTGCTTTAAAGTTTTTAATAGTTGCTGACCTGTCTGCTGTCCTCCTTCGCCTCTATGTTTGTTCTCTAATGTTCTCTAAATTAACTGTGGGACCTTTACTAAAAAGGCAGATTTATATATAATAGATCAGACAGGTGAGCTGTTATGAGCTCCTATTGGGAATTGGTTTAAAGTAGGGATGCAGGATATTGGGATTTTGGCCGATATCCGATATGCCGATATTTTAAAACTCATGTAGCCGATAACCGATATCGATACCGATGT